GGATGTCCCGAAGGACTGAGCCTTCTGTTTCTATCTGGTGTCCAAGCCCATTCTGCTGGATCAAATTCCAAGTCTTGAATCGCCGTATCTACTCTGAAGATTGTTTTTGGCCAAGATCCCAAACTCTCTTACTTTTCGGAGAACAAAAGGGTTTAGGACTGTTCTTTCCACGTCCTTATTTATGATAGATGGGACGCCTTGCGTGAACGAGGTAATTGGGAAAGAGGTAAACACAGCCAGGGTAACCGTAACCGACCCTTGCTGTTTATGGGAGAATTTATCGGCCCTTGAAGGGGTTAGATCCTGCACCCTCACTCCCCATTCACCCGATTTCCAGGTTGAGGCTTCGCTCAACAACTACTTCCAGCCTTCTGGGATGCAGTTGATAATGGATTGTAGGTTCTCTTCTCGACGGTGACATCCTTTGAGCTGGGAGGCCAGTTCCTGCTCTGTCACCCAGTCCTTTTTCTCTTCGTTCCACAGATGACTCACTTTCCAAACTCCGTGTTTGATCCACGATATCCATCTCCTTCCTCTCGGCTTAAGGGATAGTTGGTGGTCACTTTCGTCTCTCACCCACGGATTACCAAAGAGGGGTTGTCTCAATATCTCATCTTTGGATTTGGGTCTACCCACCTTCTTCGGCATGACTTTCCACCATATCCTCCTTAGCAATGCAGTCCGATATGGTGTGGGGGGCCTGGCTTCGTTTAGACCGATTCTTCTTCTCTGATTTCTTTTCTGCGCCCTGTACTTGGACTCCATTCCTTGGTCATTACCCAGACCAGACCAGACATGTCTGCTGGTGAGGCTGTCGGTGCTAGGCCCCCGATGCTGTCCAAGGCCAGTTTCTTCCATGCCGTACCAGGTTCGGTTAGTAATTTGACTATCCATTTAATTTGTAAGGCTTTGGTTTCCTGTTTGGGGTCTATGATACCAAGACCTCCTCTGGCTGGTTTCCTTGTGATGTAATGCCAGGCTATCTTTGGTATACAGTTCTCTTTGTTGGGGTCTCCCGACCACAAGTACTCTTCTGCTAATTATTACCCCTGCAAAAAAACAAGCCTGAAGCCAGTAAATACATTCCCTCTCAATTTGGTGATGTGAATTGCGAGAACGACGACAACGACATATTGTACTCTATGAATTCCTTGGTCAGAACCAGCTGATGTCAGGCAGGCTTCACCTCCTCTGTCTGGTATATGCGGCGACAGCCTGCAGATGAATGAATCCGCTCCCATTGTTTTCACTTAGTCTATTCTCCACCCTGACAGTACTCTTCCTCTTGACCCCTCGTCCCCTGAAACTGCCAGTACACGGTCCCAGCCTTGTTGAGATTTGCTCGTCGACTACTCTGAAAATTACGTGCCTCGGGCCCACCGGACCACAGTGGCTGGCGGCACCAACCAAAAAAGAAAAAAAGTGCACCGCTGGCGGTTCGGAAAAGCTTGGTGTGCAGTGTAGCACCTGCCGGCTGGTGCTCTCGGCTGCAAATGCTCGCAAACCCGTTTGCTTAGTTTTACAGTTAACCTCTGCCATCCCATTCTTCTCCCTGCTTCCTCTATCGATCCTTTCAATTCTTTGCCTGCATCTTGCTCCCTGGATTACCCAAAGTGCGGCTCTCCTGATCAGGTCCATAAGATTTCAGTCGTTTGGTTTCACCTCTCCTTCCGCAGCTTTTGGCACTAAGAGGAAAATATACGACTCACTGTGAAGGTTGATGATGCGATTTCTGTCCGTGCGTCTGCAGCCCTTTTCCACACTTCTTGCACATGTGGACAGTCTACTAGGCAGTGTACTAGACTCTCTCTTTCGCCCCTTCCGCACATTTTGCATGGAGGGGAATTGTCTGTGAGCTGTTCCCTCTTTCCCATTTCTTCTAACCAGTCATCGCTGGCACTGCCATCTGGCTGTCATAGCCGAGGTCATCGGTTCGATTCCATCTGGCTGTCATAGCCGAGGTCATCGGTTCGATTCCATCTGGCTGCGGAACGATCACTGGGCTACAATGATAAACTTACTGACAGTGTACGAGCCCGCTAACCAGCTAGGGGAGGCCCACCGGGATTCTGGTGCATCGCTGGATGCTGGCAACCGTGGAGGGTCTTGCCTTCTGCGTGGATGCTGCTGCCTGCGGAGGATCTCATGGATGTCGCATGTCGACGACGAGTAAGTCCTTGATGCAACGGAGCTGGGGTGGGCTGAATGCCACGACCGGTATGGCTTCAGCTTTGAACACCGGGTGACCGTTGGAGTGGTAAAGGCATCTGGCTGTTATAGCCGAGGCCACAGGTTCAATTCCGTCTGGCTGCAGAATGATCACACTGGGCTACAATGGTGAACTTACTGACAGTAGAGAATTAACCATTGTACACTTCTAATTCACTCTGGAGTCTGGACTGATTCCGCCATGGTATTCCCATTGTAAGGATGCCATGTCCTCCAGATCTGTTTGCATATGCTTTGCCATCTCTTGGCTATAACCGGCTGCAGCTCTTCTGTCTTTTCTCAAATGGGTATCAGTTTTTCTGCTATTCCTGAGGCTATGTTTACGTACCATCCCCATTCTTCCGCGTTAACATCTATACCTTTTATGTCGCATTGAGACCACACTGATTCGTGCTCGCCCACACCAATACACAAGGAATGCATTAGTACAGCTCACAAATCATGAATCCCAAAAATGGCTTGGACCGACCAAGAATTATTACGACAAGATACTCTTCCTTCGTGCTCGACGGCTATGGCTGTCAGCGTCCCCAACAACACATAGGTGCTCTCTCTCTCTCTCTCTCCTGTTCTATCATCTTGTGTTGGGTATGTCTGATGTTCTCTGTCCCTTTCTTGATATCTTTCTCATACGTCAGTGCAAAACTCACGGCCAACCCCTAATCGTTGGAGTAGCCTTCGCCCACTCACACCATAGCAAAGTCCTTGTGTGGCCTCATGCCTTCACAACGGCACTGACATGAACACATCAGATGACACTCATGTGATGATGCACAGCACAACTTAACCAAACAAAGATCATACAAGGTTACATGGATGGCCATCATGATAGTAGGAAATGCTGCAGATTACTGGGACACAAGGGGTATGTGAATAAGATCATTTATTACCTTCCCTGTCTGCTTCTGCCACTTCCCCTGCCAAAAGACATTGACAGTCAAACCACATGCCAAGGAGAGAAAGAGAGTGAACTTCCCTTTTTTTTTTCCTTTCTTCCCTTATGGGAAAATACACAGTCGATATCCCTCCAACCATCCCAAAAGCAGAAGGATTGCATGACCGACAAGGTAACCCGTCCAGGATCTTTGACAATCCAGCAAGACCTCATTCAATTCCAACACACTTTCCGGCTCACAATTGATTGGGATAAATCACACTTGATTGGAAGCTTTGCTGAAAATCGACATTGAACATACACACTTGAGGGCACTTCATATAACAGAACAATTCTTATGTCCACAGGGGCAGGCTGGTCTGATCACAGAGCATCAAGTGGAATCAAATGATGCATTGGACTGTCAGAACTGCCTCGCTGTGGCCGCACACAATCTCCCTGCTATTAGCAATGAAAATAACGCTACTTCTTCTTCACACTCAAGCAAACTTACCAACTGAAAAATTCATTGGTTCTTCTTCCCAGCTCATCGGTATTGACGAGCTGCTTTCAATCCCTCCCACCCCTCCCATCGATCACATCCCTCCCTCCTCCCATCCATCCCCCCATCCCATCAGTCCCTCCTAACCATCCCATCCCACGATCCCACCACCTCTCCCATCCCACCATCCCTCCCATCCCTCCATCCATCCACCCCTCCCACCCCTCCGTCTCTCCCATCCCACCGCTCGCACCCCATTGATCCACCCATCCATCACTCCATTCCATCGATGCCACCCCACCATCCTTCCCATCCCTTCTATCCATCCATCCCTCTCACCCCTTCGTCTCTCCTCTTCCACCCCTCCATCCCTCCCACCCCTTCGTCTCTCCTCTTCCAGCCCTCCATCCCTCCCATCTCATCCATCCATCCATCCGCCCATCCATCCATCGATCCATCCATCCATCCACCCCATCCCACCCCATCTCGCATTTGACGGCCACGGTCGGCCTTCACCGATTCTGAAGAGTGCACTGACATACCCAGACGGAAGCTGCTGACCAGACTGGACTGACAGACTGGATCGACAGACAGAGTGGCCTATTGTACCTACGGACCTAGAGCCTAGACCTAGCTGCCTACTTACCAGGTGATACTATGGTACATGGGGCTGGAACTTCAGGACCGGGACCGGGACCAGAACGATGATGATGCGTGAAATCCTTTCACCTTTCTGAGTTCGTCTCGCCTCAATCACTCTTGTATCCTTTTGGTTTTGTCAGGACTCGAACTGATTATCTCTCTATTCACGGTCACATGCATATACCATTCAGTCTTGCTATGATGACTTCAGGTTTCCTGCATATGATGACTGTGGCCACATGTTGCTGCCGACTCAGAGGCCTGTTGAGTGCACGATGAATGTGGGATAAGTAGGCTCTTGTGGCGTCTTCCCCTTAGTTTTCCAACCACCACCACAGCATTCACAATGCCTACCTATGGAGAGTATGTACATGGGATAAGGAGACAGGGTGTCTATGCTGACTCCATTGAAATTGAAAAGGCTTCCCATGTAAGTCTTGCTAAGGGTAAGACACAGGAATGTTTCGCTGAACATATCTGGGGATAAAAATGCACATGTGAATTGCAGGACAAGAGTAGATGGAAGAAGACCAGATCAAGGATAGGAACAAAGGGCACTAAAAAGAAAAAAAACAGGAGTGAAGCGCACGATATCCATCAGGCAAGTTCAGGTCCAGGACTTCACCACAGGTCCTACCTACCTCAGAAGCAACCCTGAAGTATTCAGCTGCATCATCGTCGATTTCATCAGACCTTCGACCCTCTCGCTTCTTCTGGCCATTGATTTTCAACAACCTGAAGGCGGATCAAAACAAACAATCATACAAGAGTTCAGTATGGCTTTACCTTCTCGGGGGATGAAAGGCACACAAACTTCGCAGATTGCTCTTTCTGAAGGTAATAAAATGAAGTCCGTATATCCTGAAGGCAAGAATTTGAAGCCCGTAATCTTGAAGGAAAGAATATGAAGGTCACATATGGCCCTTCCCGAAGACAAGAAGCTGAAGTCCGTAAACCCTAAACCCTTAACTACGGTGAAGCAAGGAAGCTCTAGGGTGCAACCTTCCCAATTTAAACGCTGCCCTGCAACTACCCGCACAGAATCAGTCTGAGATTTGTGCAGTTTTTTTTTTTTAGTATTGCTGCTTGCTGGTTCGATTTGCTGATCGCCATGTTCTCAGTGAGATTGACGTTTGCTTGCATGTGTCTAAGTCCCTGTGTGATGGTTGCTATGCGGAGTGCCGTGTGTTCTCGCCGTGTTTTCTGTGTCCCAAGTAGTAGTAGTTTGGAAATAGGAGAGCCAGAGGGATAGGACTGAAATTGGATACCGGACGGACATCTAGAAAGGCGGGTTGACAGGGACATAAGTAGAATTCGGCTAGTACCCGGTTGGGACTTCCCAGCAACTCGGGTTGGCCCAGCTGAGGTCCGGCAGGCTTAGAAGGGCCTGATGGCTTCTAAAACGGTCACGAGTAGTCGGGGGCCATACCTAGACAGCAGGTAGCTCAGGTTCAGTCCCTGAAGTGGGATTGCAGGCCGCAATGATGTTCCCGCCTAAGGCAGGAACTCCTGGTAGGCCTACCGTCTTCACCCGAATAGAACGTCCGGTAATTATCGCCGTATCTGGGCTGAAAGTTGTGCCAAATACAGCTATATTGACCGCGCGTTCTATTCGGGTGAAGACGGTAGCACACCGGAAGAGGCGGCAGTACCGTGGTCGAGGGAGATCAGAGGCCAAGTTGCCAGAGCATATCATTCGGCCACAATGAGTGAGTGAGGAGACATATTACCCTGCAGTCCTGCTGCTGCTCTGGCCAGAGGGTGAATGAAGCTGGGCGAAGCTCCTCTTGCGCGGTGCAGCGGGAGGGTAGGAAGATGACCTCCATTGCTATATAGTAGTTGGGTATGGAGGTAGAAGGTGAAGCGCCTCACGCCAAGCTATGGAGAAGGGTAGAGGAAGGGTGCAGAGTTTTTGGCGCTGCATCTAGAAGGCCCCTGTGTGGGTATTGGCTGGTATTGGATTCCATCTGAGAGTGTCTCAAGGAGAGACAGGGCAGTGCTTACCTTGTCCTTTGAACATCTGTCATGAACACGGATGAGCTGCCCTAGCGAGAGATGCAACCGAGAGGAGAGAAGCGAGTGCTGGCGGTAAGGGAGAATACTCGGACATGAATCCTGTTGATCCATTCATTTGTTTCTGTGATTGGTTACTGGAAGAGGAGGAGAAAGGGAGAAGAAGATGAGATGGAGAGGGAGAGAAGGGGAAAACATTTGGTTCAACTTGTGTAATTCTTCTTCTTCTTCTGTCCTCTTCATTCTATTCCACTGATTCTCTCTCCGCACATCTTCTCTTGCATTCAGCAAGCGTAGACTTTTCTCGCATTACGTTTTGCATTATGAATGTAATACGATCGCAACAGCCCAATAACACGAGTGCTTAAAAACGGTTGCAGGGCTATAGTGATCTTAAATACTTTTGTGAAGTTGTGGAGTCAGTCTGGTCATCACAGCCTGGTCTGCACAGTTCGGGCAAAAGGGTTTCCAACTTTCCACAAATTTATGGCTAAGATGTGACCTTTAGACAAAAAAACAACCAGGAGCGCTAGATACTGATATAAGTTAACGAGGACCATGACACCTTGACAGGATAAGACCCTCTGGTAATCAAGGAGGAGAGAGAGGGGGTGAGGAGGAGGAGCACAGATAAAATGAGGCGGCAGTGATGGAGTACAGAAATGTCAGCCACTACTGTTCTTGTTTCTCTTCGTTCATCCCCTCCTGCAATTGTGATCTCGTACATGCATTCGATGATGGCATGTGACCTGACATCTTTAGGACGATGACGCTGGGTGAAGGCAACAACAATGACTCTGACAGGGGGGATATGACAAGAGAACGGTGATGGAAGGGAAGGGGTACGGCATGCAGCGGGTGATGAGGAGGATGTGGAATACGCCGCTGGGCACGCCACTGACAATCGCTGCCCGACAAACATAATTTGTGACCTGGCAAACGTAATCAGTGAATCCAGTAAACGTTCAGCCAACAGAACAAAGTTGATTCCCTATCCAGGCCGTCCGTGACTGCCTGAAATATAACAACATCAGGCTTTCATTCCTTCCAGATGACCAGGCAAATCAGAGATTATCAATTTATCAGACTCTGGATCAAACATAAACAACATATGGGCTATGGTCCACAGACTCCATACCACATATTTTTCATGCCCATGGTCCCTTCTAATACGATAGGTGAAATGAATGAAAAGATGGAAGGGATGGAGGAATGGAGGGCCATACTAACAACACAGACAGACCGGGGAGAGAGAGAGAGAGAGAGAGAGAGAGAGAGAGAGAGAGAGAGAGAGAGAGAGAGAGAGAGAGAGAGAGAGAGAGA